TGTCTTAATTTTGTAATGTTCCCATTCCAAATCGACTCTCACTCTGCCTCAGTTCTCAATCAAAAAAATCATACTCTCTCTAGGGAATACCTGCTACCACACTTCGCGAGATTTCCATGTTAAGAGAATTGGACCATCCAAATATAGTCAAGTTATTGGGCGTTTGCATGCAAGTAAGCTTGAGACGAGTAAACTGTGGATGGTAGAAGCTAATTTTATCGAACTTAGGAAAATCGCCTCTACCTTCTTTTTGAGTTTATTATGATGGACATTCGCAAATATCTCGATTTACTTCCTGATGAAGGATACGTTCCAGCTGCTACAGTACAGCGTATTGCATTCCAGGTCCAATAGGTTTTATAGAGTGTTTTGAATTCGACTGATGTCCTTTAGCATCGTGCTTTTAGACATGCCAAGCTACATGCTTTATGCACCAACGAAGAATTGTTCATCGTGATTTGAAACCACAAAATCTGCTTATAGACGACCTTGGAGTCATCAAAATAGCTGATTTCGGACTATCAAGAGCGATAAATGTCCCTATTCGAGTCTATACTCATGAGGTAAACTTACAGTGGCTGAGGGCCTTGATCGACTATGGTACTATTTTGAGGTCGTCACTCTGTGGTACCGCGCTCCGGAGATCCTTCTCGGTGCCAACAGATATGCAGCTGCTATCGATGCATGGGCTATCGGTTGTATCTTAGCAGAAGTTGTTCTGAAAAAACCGCTCTTCAGAGGCGACTCAGAAATCGATCAGCTGTTTCAAACTTTCAGGTAGCAAACTGATTTATGTGCTGTCCTAACCAAGAGCATTTCAGACTCCTTGGCACGCCAGGAGAAAAGGAATGGCAAGGAGTTTGCTCTTTGCCTCAGTTTAAGATGAACTTTCCTAAATGGAAGGTTAACCGACTTGCCGAAACACTGAGAGCATACGCAGAAAATCGGCTAATTAGCCTTATTCAGGTGTCCTTTTGAGAGGTTCTAGAATATTCTCCTAAGTATGTAAGATCTTTAGGCGATGCTCCGATATGATCCATCGCAACGCATCTCCATGCGAAGCGCGCTTCATCATCCTTACTTTTTCGATGTAAGATTAGTTTTCAGTTCCTTTATTTTAACATTAGCCTTACAATTATAGATAGACACAAGTACTGTACCTGCTGGGAACTACAGAGGAGAGCTGTTTTGTGGATAAACTGTAACAACGCAGGGCTGCAGTGTTATGACCATATATAGCGGATATACACGTTTCTTAA